TTTACAGCAACAAACTACTTGAAATTACTCCTATGAACGAAGTGCGGTGCAAGAATTTGAAGTACAGAAATGTAAAGAACAAGAAATGTAAAAACTCGAAGGAAAATAAAGTAGATAAAATTAGTTTTTTGGATCTGAGTCTGGGGGCTCTTTCTGGGGCCTTCTCTGCTATTTATACTTCTTAATGACAATCGTCGAAATGAACTTCTAACTGTCAAACCACCCCTCCATGATCGCTAATGTTTCCTTTCAGTTAGCTCTGCTATGCCATATCTGCAGCTAGGCTTCCCTCAGGATTTTGAATTTAATATATGAATAACTGTTAAAAGTCACGTCATCTTGTATCTCTTTGCTGATCTAGTGCTACGCAGATCTTTAATAACTAATACTAACTGCTACGTTTGTGATTATAATTGAAGATTTGAATTGTCTTCCCGTATTGCCCTCATCCTGTCACGTGTTGGACTGTGATTGGCCTGTAAAAAATATGTAGCCAACAAGTTTCATGAAAGTTTATTACTATAAAACAAAATATTTTTAACTTCTAAAAGAATACTATCATACTTATACTTAGTTCACTAAACAAATCCTAAAATATTGTAGTAAGTGAATATCTTTTACAAAAACTTGATTTTTTAGATTTTTTTTTACTTGTCCCATATTAAATTTATATTTAGGTCCCATAAAAAAAATTTTAAAAAAAAGTAGGTAAAAATATTAAAAATATCCTTCACTCCTTGACCCAAACTTATATTGAATTGAATTTTATTAAGATGTTTATCCAAGTTAAGAGAGACTCAAATTCTTACTCAAAATTTTATACTCCCTCCGTCTCAAAATGTTAGTCCCTTATTCAATTTTTTATTGTCCCAAAATATTAGTCCCTCTTCAAAAATCAAGTACAAAAATAATATAAATTTTCTATTTTGCCCTTCTTTTAAATTAATAAACAATATAAAAAGTACAATTATGACATTGATATTCCCAAAAAATGTACTATCAAAAGGATAATTTTAAAAAATCAAACCTTTTTCAAATGTAATAATTGTACCACCAAAAAAAGTTAGATTCCCCAAAAGGGACCATTATTTTGGGACGGAGAGAGTAAAATTTTCCATGACTCAAATTTACTACTATCAAGTAAAGTTTTTATTTAAATTTATGCTTAAATTTGAGTTTGTGTATTGGAGTGATACATATCAAATAAAAATTTTTTTTTTTCGAATTTGAGTAATTTTTTTTTTGATCGACTTTTTTTTAAACTAAAAATATAAAGTATAAAAATATTGCAATAATAGAATTCTTTTATTCAACCCTTTTTTTTAAGAGATCCAAGTATAATATAATTCTTTTAGAAAGTTAGAGAATATATTTTTAGATAAAAATTTAATTAAAAATTACATAGTTACCTAAAATATTTAAAATTTTTAAGGCCTGATTTGACATATACAAAAAAAAAGTCAAAAAATTAAAAAGTTACCAAAAAATAAAAAAAATCTATACTATACCAATACTTTTGGCGGGTAATCGATCGGTTTGGGGAAAAAAAAAAAAAAACACAAGTCAATCAAGCTGTGCAGCCACAGTTTGGCAGCACAATTTTCCATCAAAAGTGAAAACGTGGCACGTTTGTGAGCCACATTTGCTATAATAAAAAATTAAAAAAAATTGAAAAGAGAGAGAGTGTTGCTGACTGTGTCAGTAAGAGCATTTTGATAATTTCGATATTTGTTACAATATTTTATTATACATTTTTTTATAAAAAGATTATTTTTTTTTTCAAACCATCATGATGTCTAAGGTCCCTCAACATCAATTCAGAGAAAATTCGATCCAGAGAAAATTCGATCTAGAGAATTTCTCTGGACAAATCACAGAGAAAATTTCAAATTTCTCTGGACACATCACAGAGAAAACTCCAAATTTCTCTGGACAATAATAAGGACTAGTGCTCTGTTTCAGAGAAAATTGGGATGGTCCAGAGAGATTCTCTAATTTGGACTAAATTTTCTCTTGGTTGAACTAGTGCTCTGTTTCAGAGAAAATTGGGTTGGTCCAGAGAAATTATCTAGATTGAACTAGTGCTCTGCAGAGGAAATTGGGTTGGTCCAGAGAAATTCTCTGGTTTCTAGTGCTCTAATTAAGAGAAAGCTGGGTTGGTTCATCTCTGGTTTGGACTGAATTTTCTCTAAACCAAACCAGAAAAAAAAATTTCTTTGATTCATCATTTTCATCCTAATCTCCTAACCAAACTTTAGACAAGAAATTCCAGGTGGGACCACATCAAATTCATTTTTTGAGAAAACAAACAGTGCAAATGTTTCTGATGTTTTGTTCTAACATTTGAATCAATGGATTCAACTAACAGACTCATAGCAAAAGTATATTCCCAGGACATGACATAAAAAAGTTCCACAATGGTGCAAATGTGTTGTAAAGGGTCCGTTTGGCAAGCAAGGTTGGGGCTAAAATAGCCACAAAAGACAAAACAGGCTATTTTAGCCACAACAAACAAAACATCACATCCAACCCATAATCATTACACTCTTCTCTCACAAAAAAAGTCAAAAAAGTCAAAAAGCCAAAAAGCCCTTCCCAAACCAAGCTTTTTAGCCCAGGCTAAAATAGCCAAAAAAGTCAAAAAGCCAAAAAGCCAACCCACTTTCCAAACGGAGGCAAAGTGATATACGAATTATATGAAGTTCAGGAGGTCACACGTGAATCATGTAAATATGCTTGCTAGTAGCTACAAACACAGTGCATTTTTTTATATGCCTATACTAGCCACAACCAAGAACAACACAGATACTCACTATGACCATAACACACAGCAGCCTTTCTATTACCATATTGTTTTTTGCACTGAATTGACACTTCAACTGTGTGTGATTGAGGGAATTCTAGTAATCACCTGTGTTAGGGTAGGTACTCAGTTTGAGAAATTTCTATTACCAGAGAAATTTCTCTCCAAATTTCTCTAGATTTCGGAATTTGAAATTCTGGATTCTTTGTGTTTTAACCAAATTTCTCTAGACTTCGGAATTTCTCTAGACTCTCCACCTTCTCTCTCTTCAACCCCCTTCTGCTGGACTCTCTGAAGCACTCCAGAGAAATTTGAAATTTTCTTTGGCTTCACTAAATACCATGGTAAGAAGCTTTTGGAAAGTGATCCTTTGCCGCTGATCCTCCACTGACAACATAGCAGTGATTGCTTCCCTTCCAAGGTCCAATAATGCAGACCTAAGTTCATTCAATTTTCTTTCTACATTTTGAAGCTTTGTTGAAATCTCTGCCGAAGTCGAAGGATCTTTACACTTTGATTGACGCTTTATCACTTCAATTGCCTAGTAAAATGATATATTCAATATATCACTACCACCATTCCTCTAGTCTACCGCAATACCACCAAATATACCCAGATGTGGAATCAAAGAGTACTTGTGTTTCCACTTCTTGGCAGAGTCTGTCATAACGATGAGTCAAATAGGGAGCATCCTCCAAAGGAGCTCCTGTTATTGATGCCTGTAATGGCTCAGAAATCTGCAAGTAATAAACAAGGTATAACCCCTCCCCTAAAAATAAAAAATAAAAATAAAAAAAACCACAGAAAAGAAAAGACGAGGAGGAAGACGACGGAGGACAAGGCGGTCCACGGTGGATCCAGTTGAAACTGCCTCTTATCTCGCCATCTGTTTATCCATCTTCGGAAACCACAACAGCTCCACCGCCATTGAAGCTATATATATGTTTGTAAATGTATTCTAGAGAGAGAGAGAGAGAAGTGGAAAGCTAAGGTTTGATTTCAGTCAAATTTTTCTATAATACATGGGTGTGAGAGTTGAGGGACCTTAGATATCATAAAATAATATTGTGGATCTATTCCATTACTAAAAATGGGAGAGATACCTTACACTAATTTTCCAAAAAAAAAATAAAACACAAGTCAATCAAGCTGTGCAGCCACAGTTTGGCAGCGCAATTTTCCATGAAAAGTGAAAACGTGGCACGTTTGTGAGCCACATTTGCTATAATAAAAAATTTAAAAAAATTGAAAAGAGAGAGAGTGTTGCTGACAGTGTTGCTGACTGTGTCAGTAAGAGCATTTTGATAATTTCGATATTTGTTATAATATTTTATTACACATTTTTTTATAAAAAGATTAATTTTTTTTTCTACTTTTTAGTCTAAAAAATTAAAAAATATACTTATTTATAACATCCCAAACAACTCCTAAATACAGGTCTCCTAATATTTGAGATAATTTTAACCGTTGAAGAATTAAACGAAAATTAGAAAATTTTTGAATTGTGTAACTAATATAATAAGTGGCCAATCATAGGCTGCCACATCAATTAGGATGTTGGAGCTCTTACATAATAGGTTGGAGAAAAACCTTCTACACGTCATCTCCAGCAAAATAGTCCAAGAACTATTTATCTTAGGACTAACAATTCATTGCATTGCAATCCCTTTTTATCTAATCCGTCTAAACAAACACTCCCTAATCTGTAGAATTTTTCAATATTTTTGCCCCTTCTACCACTTATTGATGCATGAAAATAGATAAGAAAGAAATAAAAATACATTGAGCTTGAAATTAACCCTTGCACGTCATATTATTCAAAAACTTTTATCGCAGAAAATTCTGTTTTCAACTCCCTTCAGAGCTTGAAATCATAAAAGATGGTTACGAAAACCAGAAGTGATACATTATTGTATTTCCAGTCAACATGAGATGATTTCAGTTCAGCAATTGTTTGTGCTTTGAATTAAAGAAATTAAAAGCAAAAGGATAACTAACTTCACAAATGGAAATACTTTTACGTCTACAACAAAGAACCCTCCATGTTCATTCTGTTGTTTTCTCTCATGCTGATTTCATTTGCTGCAAAAAGTACAAGCACAGGTCAAATGAGGTGATTATAAGAAAAATACAATAATAACAAGAAATGGCATGTTTTCTTGATATCCCCCCAAAAATGAATCCTTTTTGTGCCCCATAAAATAAATTGCTCAAATTACCCTAGTCATCCAAATGCCAAAATCGAATGGCACAGAACTTCAGATGAAAGATTGTTTTGGCTCCTTCAAAGCACATATGTGTTAATTTTGGTAGAAATTTTTTTGTTACATACTGTCAAATAAGGTGTAAATGGTGTCAGTTAGACTCATTAGTTGTGATCATATACAAATATGTATAGGATATTGACAAGTTTCTAGGAAGTAGGAGTACGTATGTTGGCCTTCCGTGTAGAAACCAATTTAGAGGCCCACTTATAAAAATTCCATTTATCTTGATGGGCAAATAGGGAATTGATGTTTGTGTACTTGAGGTTCCCACTCCAAACCCTAGCCTCTTTCTCATATGTATCCAATCATCGTGTGTGGTATTAGCAGTAGCATAACATATAAAGAAGTAAAGTCATAACGTACAAGTTTGATTCCCATCATTGACGGATTTAACAAATGTCAATGGTGAAGTGATATTATGAATGTTTTATCAAATTGAAGCATATTAGAGAATATTTCAGAAGGACTCACTCTTTTCTCTTCCTCCAGCTTGGCCTTAATGAATGAGTAGATTGCCACTCCAGCAATTGCAATGCATGTTCCAATGCCAGTTTGTGTCGATATCTTGTTACCTGTATAGCAATTGAATTGTTAGATGTCTTCTGAATATGAAGATTCAATAAATAAAAAGCCAACGGACATGATCAAAATGAGAAGAAATGTGTAAGTGTATTACCGAAGACTATAATTGAGAAGCCAATCACAAACACACGCTTCAACACATTGCCAACTGCATGTGTAAGAGGTGCAACCCTTTCAAGGGTGTTGGTCGCCAACTGAGAATCCAAAGAGTAAAAGTGTTATCAGTATTAAAACTGTGCTATACACTTCTTCAAATAGGTGAAACTTACAAAAGTAAAAATTAAAAAAGGCTAAAGAACTCATGATCAGGTGAAACAGGCAAGGTGAGAATATTGAGCCGTGTTATGTCATTATCACTAATTTATCATAGTAATATCACACCATACAAGTTTGATTCTCATCGCTGATGGAATTAACAAATGTCAATAGTGAAATTATCTTGCGAATATGTTCTCATGGTTTTCTCTTTTTTTTTCTTTTTTTTTTTTTAATGAAAAAAAAAAAGCATACCTGATTGTAGAGATGGTAAAACATTCCAACCCAAAAGAGATCCGAAATGAACTTTGTTAGCCCTACTTTAGCAATTGCATCGCTAAACCCATGCTTCATAAGTTTAGGTCCTTCCAACTGTATGACCAAACAGTAAAGAGAGGAAAAAGAAGAAATTGGCATAAGACATTAATTCATTGATAACCAAAATCTACATTAGTTACTAAGCGAAGTCTTACTCACAATGATGGCAGGTGGAATACAGACAACGAGGGCAATAATTGAAATGTAAGCATACAAATTAGTGCTGTCCATATCAGTCTGCAAAAGAAGTGACCATCAAAACGAAAGACAGAGAGGCATAAAAGAGAAACTTCTTTTGAGTTTATTGGCACATATTTAAGTTAAAAAGAGCACAATCCAAAGTATTGTGAGGATAACCATGGCCTTCTTCGAGTATATACTCCTGTAAGTGAAGGAAATGTTGGAAATCATAGCACTGATGAAGCCCAACCAGTTGAACGACAGTTCAGTAAGTGAAGCCATCGAAACACCTGTGCATTCAATTGGTTGTTAAATCACACACTAATATGTCAACTGTGTAATATTTCAAATAAATTTTCTGCACACATTGCTGATGCTGAGTTTGTTTAGGATGAAAGTGGTAGAAAATGAAAAAAATAAGAAACTTTTTGGTGAAGTTTAGCATGAAAGTGGTGGAAACTAGGAGAAAGTTAATTTACTTGTATAACCAATTTTACCATTAAAATAAGTTCTTAATCTCTTGCAAAAAACACAAGAAAATTTAAATATGTTCATGCATGGAGTTATCTATAATTAAAATTTTCAAATTTCTCTATCTTCCAGCAAAATTTTCATCCTAATCAAATGCTTGCAAGATAATATATTTTCATTTCCATTTTTTTTTTGTTTTAGTACTGTATTTTCTTTCTAATCAAACGGAGCTTAAGAATTACAATCCATGTCAGAGTTACAGAATCTAAAAGTTACCATATTTTTTTCCTGGGTTTTTCACAATTTCCATCAACCGACATTAAAAGTTCGTACATGTCTAAGTATCCATTCTCCGACAAGGATAAACAGACAAAAACAGAGGAGCTTACCAAGAACAACTGGAGCCAGTGATAGCCATAGAGTCAACGGTATCTGCTGTCCAAGTATGAATTGAGAAGCCGCAGCATTGAAGAAAGGCTCCAGGGCTGGCTCAGAAACATTTAAATGTTAATCGAATAGATTTTGGAAAGTAAGCATAATTTAAAAATTAACAATTTGGTCGCATAAAAGCATGGAGCTACCTTTGATTGTGTGAGTAAATGAGACAGCAACTGCTGCAAATGAGACATTGCTGGTCACATGGCCTAAAGCATGACACACAGCGACAGGGAGGAGTAGCTTAAAGAGGTTTGAGTCCATAGGCTACAAAAAACCACGAGTCATGAGCCGGTAACATATCAGCACGTTTGAAAGAGGGTGGCCAAGGTAATAAAAAAAAAATGTAAATGAGAAGGGGGTCTGAATTAATAGAGATTAAAACTCGGCTAAATCTCATTCTTCAAAATTATCAAAATTTAAATCTTATTTATTTCACTACTATCAAAGAGATGCTATTATTTAATTTATCATGTAGTTGAACTTTATAATATTCCTCAAATAAAGTTGCAGATTATGCCCATTGACTATTTGTCCTCAATGTTAATACTTAAAGATCCTAATGTTGAGGTGTAAATAACACACACATATATATATTAATTATATACAAAATACAAGTGTTTTAGTTTGGTCATGGCATCATTTTACACTTCAGTTTAAGCCTCTCGCAAACATTTTTCTATTCTTATTCTTATTTTTTTAAAAGGGTAAATTACACCTTTCTTCCTCAAGGTTTAAGAAATGAGAAGGGGGTCTGAATTAATAGAGATTAAAACTCGGCTAAATCTCATTCTTCAAAATTATCAAAATTTAAATCTTATTTATTTCACTACTATCAAAGAGATGCTATTATTTAATTTATCATGTAGTTGAACTTTATAATATTCCTCAAATAAAGTTGCAGATTATGCCCATTGACTATTTGTCCTCAATGTTAATACTTAAAGATCCTAATGTTGAGGTGTAAATAACACACACATATATATATTAATTATATACAAAATACAAGTGTTTAAGCAATTATTGCAATGACTTTTACACTTCAGTTTAAGCCTCTCGCAAACATTTTTCTATTCTTATTCTTATTTTTTTAAAAGGGTAAATTACACCTTCCTTCCTCAAGGTTTAAGAAAAATACAAAAAGACTTTTAGTTTTGATTAAATTACACAAACCTCCCCTTAATTTTTTTTTTTTTTTTTATTATCAGAAACTCCCCTTAAATTTCAAGCATAACAAATTAACACATACCGTAATGAACCATTAATAAAATAGCGGCTACTGCTTATGTCATACCATATATTTTTTGAATGTAGAATTTACCTTTTCTTCAAATAAATGAACCAAAGTTACTTTCTCTACTTTTAAAATAACCAAATAATTTTCTGTAAAAGCTAATCAATATGTTGATTAATATATACGTACATATCAAATATGAGGGTAGATGGGTGTTGTTTTGTGTTCTTGTTCGAGTTGAGGGGATTTGCAACATCTAATCAAAATAGTATAATATTAAGCTCAGGGATCAAGTAAGTGATTACAGATCTTCTTGTTGTGAATTATAGAACTTCTTATCAGTCAAGTAATACTATTAAGCTCTCTTATCCAAAATTGTGGAGTTTTTTTTTATAATATTTTTCTTAAACTTCCAGGAAAGTAAGTGTAATTAATCTATTTAAAATAAACTATGAATAATATTCTTTTGAAAAGTTTATGAGAAAAGGAGGTGGATTCCTTACAAGCCATAATATGAAGTGAAGGGTGATGTACGGGCCTGTGGTACATTTTGCCATGGATTTCGTTTCGATAATTCTAACTATTAATTTTTGTCAAACACTTTAGGTATATTATTCATAAAAAAATTAAGTCGATTAAATAATCATAGGCTACTCAATTTATAGCATTTGTTAAAAAAAAAAAAAAAAAGATAATTGAGTTTTTAAAAATAGACTACTCATTTTTATTTTGTGACAAACGCAATAAATTTAATAGGTTATGATTATTAAATCGATCTAATTTTTTTCATAAAAGATATACACGAAGTGTCCAATAAAAATGAATGATTTAGATTATTAAAACAAAACTTACGATAAACTCCAAGAACCCGAACAAGATCCTTTAATTCAAATTAGGGCGAATTACACTAACAATCCTATAGTTTGGGACTCGTGTTGCTTTGGTCCTTAACTTTTCAATTGTGACACTTTTGATCATGAATTTTGAATCTTGTTCCACATAAGAACAATTGAAGATGTCATTACTCAATTTCAAAGCAAAGTCGTCAATTTGATAAATATAAACTAATTTGACAAAAATGAATGTTAGAAAATATTATTAAATTTTTAAAAATTATTTCTACCCACTAAAGATAAAATTATGTAAAATTTATAAATCTCTTATTTATTTATTTATTTTACCAAGTTAATTTTTATTATGTGTTTGGATGATGATCATGTAATCGGTGGTTAGTTTTAGTTTTAGATGTTTTGATTTAATGGATTGGTTTAATAATAATATCAAAGTTATCGCCATATTTGACTTTTGAAAAAATAGAAACTAATTTAATGAAAATAAAAATAACCATCCATTACATAATTATCATCCAAACATATAATAAAAATTAATTTAGTAAAATAAATAAATGTATAAAAAATTTATCAATTTTATATAATTTTATCTTCGATGAGTAAAAATAATTTTTTAAAATTTAAAAATATTTTTTTGACATTTATTTTTGTCAAAAAATTAATTCAAAGGATAGACGGGAGAGAATCACCCTCCACCATGAGTAAATGGGTTTGGAGGAGTCCACTTACAGCGCGCTTAGGAAGGCCCACGGTCCAGCTCACCAAACAGTACACCACCCCAACTCCCAAATGTATAACCGACACAAAACTGCGCACAAAACACAAAACTAACCTTCATCATCACCATCGCCATGCTAACTTACACCCCCCAATATCAGTCTCTTATGCTGCGCACATCATCAGTCAAACGAGTACTATAAATTAAGCTCACTTACTAGGGATATGGGAAGTAATTGTAGATCTTCTTGTTGAGAATGTTGAATATCACATTCAAAAAATACCTGGAAATACAATAAGAAAAGGACCGATTGGTAATTTTACTTAGATCTGTGCATAATTCTATTTGCACACTAGACTACCACTTATGCCGAACAAAAAGTAATTACGGATATCAAAATTTGAACAAAATTTAATTTTTCGAATAAAAATTATGTTCAATAAGTAATATTGAAATAATTGGTTTTAATTCAAAATTTGATATCCAAACAACACATTTAGTATTTATTGAGATACTGTGTGGTGTGTAAACACTAATATATTATTTATTTTGATGTATCAAAAAAAAATACTAATATATTTTCAGTAATATTATAAATTCAAACTTAACTATCTAAAAATTTATTCTACATACACCTGGACCCTACATTACATAAATTTAATTTCAATCACATAACACTCATTTGGAATAAATTCAAAATACTTAAAGTGGGTTCATAACACTCACATGTGATCCTCACTATCACAATGTGAGATAAAGGGTGGACTCCACTAAATTATGTGATGGTCGTGAGACATATTCACATGATGTCCTAACTTGTTATTAATTGGTTAAAATTGTGAGATTCAATTATTTTGTTCATATTTTATGAATTTAATTTTCTAAAATTTAAGTTTTTTTATTTTTCGTGTGTTTTTACTTTTAGTAATTTTTTTAATATTTTAAACAAATTTTTTAGTTTTTAGATGGAACTAACCTACATGTAACTAAAAATAAAATATTTATAAAAAATTATTTCAAAAAATTAATAAATCCACAAGAATACGAAAATATATTAAATTTATTTTTTATATTTAGTGAATTTTTTTAAAAAAAATTACAAAAATTATAATTTTTAATTGTATTTGTATGAAGTGTATCTAAAAATTAAAAAAAATATTCAAAATATTAAAAATTAAAAATTAAATTCAAAAAATTAGAACCAAATAAATATTTTTTTGTTAAGATTATAAAAAAAAAGTGTCAAGTGATCTGAAACAATACTCTACCACAGTAATCAGGACCAGTAAACAATCACTTCCTCCGGACATGTGGGCCTCACATCTTTATTTATATTTTATATTTGTATAATGTTCTTTAAAAAATTCCAATATTCCTAACATAACTCCAATCACGATTACAACTTCCGCCTCAAGCATAGAAAACAAAATTTTAAAAATAATGTGCATTAGTGTCAAAAATTTTGATTTTTTTCTACAAATTAAAATGCTTACAGAGATCTTTTAATTGATAAAAAAAATTTAAAATTTTAATGTACAAACATTATTATTTTTAAGTTCCAACAAACAATTTACGACGTTATATTTTGTTTCACATATTGCTGTTGTTTGGCAAGTGGGTTGGAGGTGAATTGGTATTAAAAAAATATAAAAAATAAAATAAATTAATAAGATAAATTATTATATTTAAATTATAATTATTTTATTTTTTTTAAAAAAAAATTTTAAAATCAAAAAAATTCTTCTCAACTGAAGCTGATTTAACCAAATTAAATTAACCAAAAAATAAAAAATAAAACTAAAAATATCCATCGATCCAATTTTACGATTTGATTCAATCTTAACGATCCTATCTAAATCCCGATTTTAACAAACTTTCATATTAACTGGTTTGACTGTAAGTTGACAGCTTTAAATAGGAAACAACACCACGGCGCAATTTAGAAAAACCACGTGACTTACCACATGAAGAAGAAGAACCCGGTGGTTATAGCCGGGTACTTCTCGAGCAACCCGACCGGTGCGATCTTGGCATCCCTGCATGTACAAAAAGCCGGGTTCAGACACAAAGACACGCAAAACATAACCATCACTTCTCAACCCGAGAAAACGGACCTCACCCGCCTGAATCGCTGCCCGCAGCCGGCGACGAAGCTGCGGCTCGGCTCGGCTTCACAACCTCCCTCTTCGTCGCCGGAAAATTCAAAGCCGCAGCCGCCGATGATGATGAGCTCTCGAGGAGTATGGCTGGCCGGAGCTGCCTCCCCCATATGAGGTTCCCGCCGGAGCCGTCGACGGCACCGGATCCGGATCCGATCGGAAAGCAAGCGGAGCTCAGGCGTGCTGGCTGGCGGAGCCTGGGGATGCCGGCGGAGATGGTGGTGGCGCCGGAGAGAACTCGAGACTCCATTTTACAGAGAGAGAAATGTGATGTTGGCTAGAGGAGACTTTAGAGGAGAGAGAGAGAGAGGGGGGGGGGACTGGAGATATTCGATGCGCGAGGGAGGGCTGAGAGACCATGCGGAGCGTTTTTTGAGTGGTTGTGAGGTGACGAGACCAACGGTTGATATAATTTGGATGGGGTTGTACTTATTTTGGAATGATTCGGTACGCCGCGGGGCCATCATAAAATATTATTTTCCATATTGTTATTCGGACATCTAAATAATTCATAATTTAAAATTCAACAATGCTAGAATTACTTAAATTTTTATTTAGTAGGTTGTTGTAGGAATTTGATTTTCTAGTAATTTTTTTAATTTTTAAAAAAATTTGTTTAAAAAATGAAAAGAATGGTTGACATTTTATATTGACTTTTTGAGTTTTTGATAAAAATGTTGTGTTTCCAAAATTGGCCTTAAGCGTTGTTTGAAAAGTATTAGATTAGTATATTTTTTTGACCTTTTATGAAAAAATATAAAATGAGTTGAGATTGAAATGATGTGATAGAAATGTGATGTGACCTAAATACGAGAAAATACAATCCAAATAAGATTGATTGTGATTCAAATAAGATGATTAGTTAAAATAATATGTACTATTTTAATCCATGTCAAACAATACTTTAGTGTGTGTAAAATATTAACTATGTATCATTTTTCTTTACAAATTTGAAATTGAGGCCTCCTTTGAGAACAGGCTAATTTAGTAACTTTTTGACTAATTGGCTAAAAAGGTAGGTTAAAAAAACTTGTATGTTTGGGATGACTTTTTGACTAATTACGAAAAGCTGTGCAAAAAGTAGAGAGAAACCGTAATTATTGACTTTTTGGTATGACTAATTGGCTAAAAATGTAGCATTCCAAACGAGGCCTGAGTCAAAAAGATTTGAGGAGACGGAATCCCATGCCTACAGAGCAAATTATATTGATAGTCTTTTATATTTTTACTCTTTGTCATTTTGTTTTATGTAATTTTAATTAGCTTAATTTTGAGTATCAATTTGGATACTTGATTACAATTGTTAGTTTTTTGTTTTTTTTGTTTTCTAATGAAAATGCACACGTAAGCGATATGTATATGGTTTTATAAGCAAAATTATAAACTTATTCAATTCAATAAGTTAACATCAATCAACTCAGTGACAAATTTTTTTTTTCAAAAATCCTAATCAGTATTATCAATTGAACTAAATTGATGCATAATTTAAAATTAAGAGTAAAAATTCAACTAGTTAAAATTACATGAACTAAAATGATACAAAGACAAAATGCAGGGATTACCAATGTAATTTATCCTAAATATAGTTGGTATATCATTTTTAATTAATATATATTAATGTATCATTAAATAAATAAATTTCTAAGAGGAATAACAATATAATAACTCTCAAAATAATTTATAAGTGTCATCTATTATAACTAAGGGGTTTTTTTAGGGTCCTTGATATTAAGATTTTATAGCATAAATGATATTTAATATTTTCGTAATGTCTAAGGTCCCTCAAATTGATTCAAAGAAATTTTAATCCAGAGAAATTCTAGACTTTCCAAAGAATTTCTCTAGGTTTAAACCAGAGAAAATTCAAATTTCTCTAAGTTCAAACAAGAGAAAATTGAACAACACAGAGAAAATTAAACCCATAAATCCAAAACCAGAAATCCAGAGAAAATTCACATAATTTCCACATCCAAAGAAAATTCTAATCCAAAGAAATTCTGGAAAGACTAGAGAATTTCTCTGATGTTTTGGTACTCGGTTCAATGTTATTTATTAATGTGGTTGAGAGAATTTTCTCTAGATCAGAATTTCCTTTGTATTTTGTACTGAACCAGAGAAAATCCCTTTAAAACCCACATTAAATCCATTTCAATACAACCACTACAATTCAATTCAAGTTCCTTCAATAGCAACAATGGCACACCGCAAAACTGTAATACAAAACCAGAAATGCAGAGAAAAATTCACACAAATTCCACAGCCAGAGAAAATTCTGATCCAGAGTAGAGAATTTCTCTGATGTTTTGGTATTGGGTTCAATGTTGTTTGTTAATGTGGTTGAAAGAATTTTCTCTGAATTTTTGACCGAACTAGAGAAAATCCCTTTAAAATCCACATTAAATCCATTTAGGGATAGCAATTTGAAACCGGCCCGATGGGGACCCGATCCCTCAACCCCGATGAGAATGGTTTTTTCCCGAAAAATACCTCCGTGGAGACGGGGATGGCATTCAAAATTAAAACCCCGATCAGTTTCGGGCTGGGGACGGTGATCAGTGTTCAAGCCCCGGCCCGAATTTTTCTCGAAGCAAAATTACCGTTTTACCCCTATATATATATATATAAATCAACCTTTTCACTTCACTCACACAGAACCTCACAATCGGTCTCACTCATCAGCCTCTCATCTCTCTCTCTCCCTTTCTCTAAAACCTTCCGCCGATCTCCATCTCCCACCGCCGATCTCTCTCCTCCCACCGCTAATCTCCACCCTCCCTACAACTCTCTCTCTTCTCCCTTACAAACCCACCTCTCTCTCTCTCTCTTTCTTTCTTCCCTCTGTCGACACCGTTGCCTCTTCCGACACCCTTACCTCCTTCGTCCACTCGATCTGCCAACGCCGTTGCCTCTGCCATGGTCGTCGTCCTTCACTAGTTTTTCACCGCTGCAGATTTGCTCGATCTGCTCGATCTCTCTCTCTCTCTCTCTCTCTCTCTCTCTCTCTCTCTCTCTTTCTTCCCTCTGTCGACACCGTTGCCTCTTCCGACGCCCCTACCTCTTCCGACACCCCTACCTCCTTCGTCCACTTGATCTGCCAACGCCGTTGCCTCTGCCATGGCCGCCGTCCTTCACTAGCTTTTCACCGCTGCAGATTTGCTCGATCTGCTCGATCTCACTCATATGCCTCTCATCTCTCTCTTAGATCTGTGTTTTGTTTTATCATTTCTTTTTTTGTGTAGCTGATCTGTTGTTAATGATCTGTTGATGTTGAGATGTTGATTTTTTTTTTTTTTGATGTGTGTTGATGTTGTATTTGAGCCCAAATATTCTGTTGATGTTTTTTTGGCCGGGGATTTTCGGGGTCGAGAAAACCCGATCCCTGTTAGGGTGCAGGGGTGGGAGTGGGGGCGGTAGTTGGTTCCCCGTCGGAGACGGGGATGGGGCCAGGGACGGGGACGAGGATGGGGGGAAGTTCTACCATCGAGGATCGGGGACGGAGAGGGTGACCCCCGGCCCCGCCCCGCTCCGCCCCGTTGCCATTCCTAAATCCATTTCAATACAACTACTGGAATTCAATTCAAGCTCATTCAATGGCAATAATGGCATACAGCAAAACTGTAATACAAAACCAGAAATCTAGAGAAAATTCACACAAATTCCACATCTAGAGAAAATTCTAATCTTTTGGTACTGGGTTCAATGTTGTTTGTTAATATGGTTGAGAGAATTTTCTCTAGATCAAAATTTTCTCTGTATTTTTGACCGAACCAGAGAAAATCCCTTTAAAACTCACATTAAATCCATTTCAATACAACCACTGCAATTCAATTCAAGTTCTTTCAATAGCAACAACGGCTAACATAACCACCAAACCCATCTTGATCATTGCAATTGGCATTTACATACATTTAATTACAAATATATTAAATACATACATTTGCTTCTGTGATGAAATCTTTGTTTTTATGTTTCTAATTTCACTTACCCATAACAATTAAAGAATAAAAAAGTGGTGTATATCTTTATTGGTAACATTGAGAGAAGTTGATGACCAAATCTAGAGAAAATTCACACAGTGACTAAATCCAGTACATTTGACATGGCAAAGGAGGCGACGTGCGCTTATGACTGCGTCGCTCGAGTGATACGTGGAGTCAAGGCGAGAACCAACTTCGTTTACCCATTTTCACCTCCTTACTTAGTCACCGACAATCTCATCCCCCTGTTTCACTACAGAAATAATCTCAGTCCTCCATGAGAGACATACCCAATCGAAGCTTTGCTCCTCCTCCTTCTTTTCCTCATGTCGGTGACTTCTCTGGTTCTTCTCTCAACATGCTTCTCTTGCCTCAAACTATGTCTATTTACGATCAAATTCTATATGTCGATTATATGTCGATCATTCTAGTTCTCAATCACATACTAGGTCTTTCTTTGTTTTGTTCTTCTAATGTCTCTGAGAGCTTTATAGGTTGTTTCCCACTCAACCCAAAATCAAAGATTATCAAGAGAGAGAGAGAGAGAGTTTAGAGTGTCTGTGTGTGAAAGAGAAATGAAATTTGATTTGAGAGACTCAAATTTCTCTGTGATATATGAGTGTGGAGTTGAGAGACCTTAGACATCATAAAATAATATTGTGGATCTCTTTCATTACTAAAAATGAAAGAGAAGGATATATCTCGTATCTACATTTTATTGTAAATCGAAAATGAAGGAGAGCTTAATTCAGGTTTTGAATTTGCCAAAACAGTCAATTACATTTCTTTATTTTTTTTTATGTATTTCAAAAAAAATTTAACAATTAACTAAAATAATTTTGCAGCAAGTTCTAACACAAAAGAAAAAAAAGCACTGAAGATTCTCATTAAAGTATAATCTGACAAAGCTAAGGTATATGTAGCTTTAATTCCATTTCTGGTTATGGCTTGAAATCAGGTCACCAAAATTTATGGCATAGGTTTCCACTTGTGGAAGGCAATCTTTAATGATAACTTTGGACATATTTGGTTTGATTTTAAAAATTTGTTTCAATTTTTTTTAAAAATAAAATAAAATAAAATAACTTGGTGAAAAAAAAATCAATAACATCTATTATTTTTATATAAATTTATTTTTTGGGTGGTAGATACAATTTTAAAAATGATATTTATTTTTATCAAATTAGTTTTCATTTTTTCAAAAAAAATTCTGATTTTTTTCCCCTAAAAAACTAACCAAACATGACTTTTACTTTTCTTCTTAAAATCTAGTGAAATGAGATGAGATGATTATTAATTGACTCTCTTATGGAATGAT